TCTACTCGGCGTATCTCGTCGCCGAGCGCGTGCAGGTTATCTCGAAGCATAATGACGACGAGCAGTACATTTGGGAGTCGGCCGCCGGTGGCACCTTCACGATTACGCTCGACAAGGTCAACCCGTCGCTCAACCGCGGTACGGAAATCCGCCTTTACCTCAAGGAGGACCAGCTCGAGTACCTCGAGGAGAAGCGCCTCAAGGAGGTCGTGAAGAAGCACTCCGAGTTTATCTCGTACCCGATTCAACTCATCGTCACCAAGGAGGTCGAGAAGGTGTGTTCCATCGTTTCGCGCCGCGACTGCAGTCACTGACAACGCATGCAGGAGGTTGAGGACGATGAGGAGGAAGAGAAGGAGGACTCCAAGATCGAAGAGGTCGAGGATGAAGAGGAGAAAAAGAAGAAGACCAAGAAGGTTAAGGAGGTCCAACAGCAGACAGAGGAGCTCAACAAGACGAAGCCCATCTGGACGCGCAATCCTTCCGATATCACCTCTGAGGAGTATGGTGCCTTCTACAAGTCGCTCACGAACGACTGGGAGGATCACCTTGCCGTCAAGCACTTCTCCGTTGAGGGTCAGCTTGAGTTCAAGGCGATCCTCTACGTTCCCAAGCGGTATGATGTTCCCGCGATCATTTCTTGATTTCCCGTTTTAATATCACCAATAGTGCACCTTTCGACCTCTTCGAGCAGAAGAAGAAGCGCAACAACATCAAGCTCTACGTCCGCCGTGTGTTCATTATGGACGACTGCGAGGAGCTCATCCCCGAGTACCTCAACTTCATCAAGGGTATTGTCGACTCTGAGGACCTACCGCTCAACATCTCGCGTGAGACTCTCCAGCAGAACAAGATCCTGAAGGTTATCCGCAAACACGTCGTCAAGAAGTGCATGGACCTCTTCACGGAGATTGCCGAGGACAAGGACAACTTCAACAAGTTCTGGGAGGCGTTCGGCAAGAACATCAAACTTGGTATCCACGAGGACGCCCAGAACCGCTCGAAGCTCGCCGAGTTCCTCCGCTTCCACTCTACCAAGTCTGGTGATGAGCTTACGTCGCTCAAGGGTAAGTGGCAGGCTCTCCGCCTCTGACGCGCTTGATTGACGGCCGCCTTGTCTCATAGACTACATTACGCGCATGCCCGAGGGCCAGAAGAACATTTACTACCTGACGGGCGAGTCGCTCGCCGCCGTCCGGGACTCGCCATTCCTCGAGGTGCTTAAGCGCAAGGGCTTCGAAGTCCTCCTGCTTGTCGATCCGATCGATGAGTACGCCGTCACGCAGCTCAAGGAGTTCGAGGGCAAGACGCTCGCGTCGGTGTCCAAGGAGGGTCTCGAGCTCGAGGAGACCGAGGACGAGAAGAAGGCGCGCGAGGAGGAGGCCAAGTCCTTTGAAGACCTCTGCAAGGTCATCAAGGACGCGCTCGGCGAGAAGGTCGAGAAGGTTACTATCTCGAACCGTATCGCCGACTCGCCCTGCGTCCTCGTCACCGGTCAGTTCGGCTGGTCGTCCAACATGGTGCGTCTTCTCGGTGTACCTCGTTCCTGTGCCGTCGCTGACGCCCGCCCCAGGAGCGTATCATGAAGGCGCAGGCCCTCCGTGACACGTCGATGTCTTCGTACATGGCGTCGAAGAAGACGCTCGAGCTCAACCCGAAGCACGCGATCGTTAAGGAGCTCCGCCGTAAGGTCTCGGAGGACAAGGCGGACAAGTCCGTGCGCGACCTGACGTACCTCCTGTACGAGACGGCGCTGCTCACGTCTGGCTTCTCGCTCGAGGAGCCGACGTCGTTCGCGAAACGTATCTACCGCATGATCTCGCTCGGCCTCGACGTCGACGAGGATGAGGACGTCGAGCCGATCGTGCAGGACGACGCCGCGCCGCCGCCGGTCGAAGGCGAGTCGAGCTCGGCGATGGAGGAGATCGACTAAATGCTTCGCCTGCCGCTTGCTTCGGTGTCGTCTGCTTATTAGTCTTGCGTTTTCCTCGTAGGGTGTGTGCTGTCGCAGTTCTGCTTCATTGTGTTATTACGCTTTCAGTTACACGTGCACGATACGTTTAAAGTACCCAGTCTTGTAGCATCAAACAAACATAGCATTTCCTTATCATCTACATTCCGGTGTGACGGCGAAAGATGAATTTATGTCTCGATTGGACAGGCAGTGAAGCGCGAGCGAAGAGAATGAAATTATCGGTGCAGAAGCGGTTACGGGGGCTGCGGCGGAAGACGGTGGCGAGCAACAACTGGACCCAAGAATGCAGGCATTATACGCGGAGATACGCCAGCTGCATGGAAGTCAAAGCGATGCTCGACGTGTCGTAAGGGGCGGAAGGACGGAAGGAGAGCTCTTTTGGGCGCCCCGAGAGCCGAAAGCGTGCTACGTACCCCGCTTGCCGTACAGGGCATTGCGCCGCCTTTGATACCGGATGCCCGGGCGTACCTGGGAAATGCGGGTGAAGATACGAAAGGAGGGTTTCGAATCAGGACGGTTCGGAAGTAATATGGGCCTGGCAGGATCAAACGAGGAAACAACGCGCACGAAACGAGGCGGGGTGCTGCTACAGTTGGCGTTGTGGCGGTGAAGCAACGGCGCAGACGGGCACGCGTCAGTCTGCGAGCCTCGTGGTGCTTCGATGCGTTGCGCGCAGCGCGTTGCAACGTTCGGCCGGCACCAGGCGCACGCGGGTGTCCATCTGCGCAAAGCTGGCACGTACAGGCTGCCTGGGAAGCGAACGGTTCGGTTCTGAGCGGTGGCGCGCGGAAATCGCAGACGATGTAGCTGATGCCCGGCATCGCGGATACGACGGCGAGTTTCTTTTGTACTGGGCGGCGTCGGCCGGGGAGGTGCGCATTGTGATGCGAGGACGATGGAAGGTCGGGCCCATTGTTCTCCTGTAGTAAGCGGCAACCGGTTGCCCCATGCTGACAGGCTACACAAAACGAACGGAGGGATACGAAGACATGTACAAGCGTTATTGTGGTTATTGTTGAGCTGGAGGCTCCAGGTGAGTCGACTGGGAGGCTGATGGGCTCGAGCGCGTGCTCCAGACGACTTGTCGGCGTCCTTCGCGCCCACGCGAGTCGACGGCTATCGCGGTCACGGGAGGCGAGGCGGGATTATTTGGCCAGGAACTGGCGTAGCTCAGCGCCATTATAGGCCGGAAAAGGAAAGCGGGCGAATTGGTCAGAGGGGCCAGAGAGTCCGATCAGTCTTATCAAACCCACGCCGACACCGCGTTTCTTGACTCTTCCTCCCATTATCCCCTCCGTCCTTATAAAGCCCTTCAACCACGCTCCTTCGGGCGTACCGCCCACTCCCCTCTGTCCACAGCACGAGGCTGTCGTTTCCATACGCACTCCGCCATGCCCACAGTCGTCGCTCCCCAGCCGATCCGCCTCGCTTCTGCTCCCGTCATCGTCGACCCGGACAGCCATGCTCCGCTGTCGCCTCACGTCGGTCGCCAGGATGAAGACGATCCTTTCATCGTCCGTCGGACTCTTTTTCATCTATCGTTCCCTTCCTTACCTGCACCGTCCAGTGTCGCACCTCGACGCCGCTCAAGCCCACCATCTCCCGCCAATTTTTGCTCCCCCCTCCACGAATCTCTACCAAGAGACCTAAACTTGTCCGTCGCCTCTTTCTTGTCTTCCGCTGTTGTCGTCTCATCTTGTCTCTCGTAGATTTCTAAGTCTCCGACTCCCTGTAGCTCTATCAAGAATTCCTCTCTGCTTCATGCTCCACGTTCCCCGCGCCGTCGACGCCATGCGTCCCATTCGCGCGCCGCATATGGCTTTCCGCCCCGCAACCCTTCCGCATTCGACTCCCTCTCGTGGATCTCGGCCCTCGACTCGGCAGAATTCATCGACCCGTGGAACATCGCCGACCTGTCCCAGCTTCCCGTAGATGACCGTTCGAGATGGGATGCTCTGGGCCCTATTCGGCGCCGGAAAACCTCCGTTCCGCGCTCTGACGCCCTGCGCAGCCCTGTCCTCGAGGCAAGCGCGCGGCCGCCACAGCTTGCGCCCTTAGCCACTCCGGCGCGCGACGTCATACACACGCCCCCGCCACGCTTCTCATCAGCGTCCCACGTCCAGTTCCACAACTTGATGCCGGTTTGGTCTCCGCGCGCTACTGCCTAGGCGCGCCTCATAGTTTCTCGGCGCGCTCTGGCCGGTCGGCGCTACGCCTCGGGTACTGTTTCCGGGCTCCGGAGCGCGTTCGCCCTACCGGACTAGCGCGCAGTCGCGCCGTTGCGCCGTTCCCACCTCTGCTTCGCGGCGCCACTCGTCCTCCAGCTATTTCTCGTCTACGCATCCTGCATCCGTACCATCGCTGCATCATCGGTCTCCCGCAACGTACCTTATTTTCGTCATCCCCATCGCCTTCATCGCTCCGATAAGAAATCTCTCGCACCCCATTCACGTCACGCCCCCCACGCTGTATTCTCTTTTCACCTTCTAATTTCCAGCTTCTGTTCACCCTTTTCTCTTTTCCCGTTCCACTGTCCCCGGTGTATTCTCGCAAACAGACAACCCAGTTCAGCTCGGTTCCCGTATCTCACGCTGTTACGATCTACTATCGCTGTCGTACGATTAGCATCTAATGATTCTCGCTCGCCTGCCTACTCGCCTGCCGACTAACCTACCGATATATCGCGCTGTTTGTACTTATGTATGATCCCTCACCTGCATTATCCCTCTCTGTCGCATCTCCCCTACGCGCTGCTGTGCTGTGTCGTCTCGCTTCCATCTCCCATTATCTCCCCCCCTTTCCCCTGCCCCATTCCCCATCCCTTACGTCTTCATCCTCAATTCAGGACTTGATGTCTGCACGCTCCAGTTCACGTGTATTTAACGCGTCAATGATGACATGCTGTGGTTGACGATCGTGCTTGTGTGATCTATACGGTCCGGAGGATGTGGGCATGAATTCTGTTAGAGGATCAATTTTTAGGGGGCCTAGGCATGAGAACGAAAAAGCAAAGCGTCGATGTACACTGCCCCAGTGAGGCTCGAACTCACGACCTTCCGATTGCCTGCAATGTTAACAGTCGGACGCTGTAACCAACTCAGCCATGGGGCACCTATTAGTACTTTGTCGCGACATATTGTGATTCTGCATTCCGCAGCAACCAGTGGCAACGAACTCCTCATCACTTCGACGCAGCCCGATCCTACTCAAAATTGCACGCCATCGACGAGACATTCTCCTCCCGATCGGCATAATCTTTCGTTATAGTATCTTGTTACACCCACACTGATCTAAAGAGTCAACGCACTCAATCGCACTATAATGAAGGTAGCAAACAAAACGGGAACGCTGGAACGGTTGGGGGACATCAAAGCGGTTCCAAAAGGCCCAGCCTGCGCCTCAAATTTCCTGACGTATGGGGTTTATGGGGTTGACCAGTCATATTATATTCGGCGGTATAAAAGGGGGTAAACCTGTTTCTACGCTCGACGCAGACGGCCCAGATATAGAAATAAGGATAGGACAACTTGGGTTATTAGGGATATAAGTTAGGCGTAAAATGCGGGCCTCCAGAGGCGTGCCTAGTGCCTCATGCCGCAACAGGTGCTGCGCGCAACTGTATAGCGTATGAATGTCGTAATCCGTCTCCTTATCGTCGCATCCTCATGAAGTCGTTTACCGCTCACTGGACGCAACCGTCAAGACAAAATCGAAAAAGTGAGGTGTCGGTTACGTACTTCACGCGCTAGCAAAGCGAGACGATGAGCCCGTCGGGGGGTACAAGCTACTTGCGCGCTTTGCACTCCCTTGCATCATAGCCGACCGGTCCTTGAAGCCGGCGAACTGGCCCCCTCCGCCTTCGAGGCACTCCAGCGGAACCATGCCTTGCTCGCCGTACGCGTTGGCGCAGAGCGCCCAGCCGTCGTCGAAGCGGTGCAGCACGGCGAGCGTCTGCCCGATGGAGATGCTCAGCTCATCCTGACGCGTCGGGATGAACGTCACGCGTACGAGTGCGGTGGGCACTTGCGCGGACGCCGCGGTCGGGGGCATTGGCGGCGGGCTAAACATCCCGTCAGCAGGCGGCGGCGTCTTGCGCGCCGGCCGCATATCCGAGCGGGTAGGTCGGACCGGCGGACTTCGTGCGGAGCGGCGCGCAGGCGATACGGAGCGAGATGGGCTGAAGTTATCGCGTGGAAATGTACGCGCAAGAGCAGAGGGAAGGCTGTAGATGGAGTGGCGATTCGACTGGCGATTGGTGCGGTTCGCGGACGCCGCAGATGTTCGGCTCGGGCCCGGCATGCCGATCGTGAAAGGGGTGAGCCTGGGCGCGGGCTCGACCCCCTTCTCCAGGGCTGCAAAGTCGCCGGGCTTTGCGCGGACGCCGGCTTTCCAGGTGGCGCGGCGAAACTGACGTTTGGCGAGCTGGCGGCGGCGATATAGGTATACACCGACGATGTTTAGCAGCACTACAACACCGATGACGATTCCAGCGATTGCGCCAGCGGGTATGGAGTTGGACTGTGGGGCCGCGGACGGGGTTCTCTGGGACGCCGCAGCGTTGCTAGCATTGGTCTGAGACGAATCTGTGACACCTGTACTTGCTGACTGCGTCGGAACCGCAGGAACGACCGGGGCCAGATCGGTAGACGAGGAGACGGTGGTGGACGACACAGTAGACGAGGTGGCGGAAGACAACGAAGAAGTGGTCGTGGATGAGGAAGATAGCAGGACAGATGCGACAGGCGTGTTTGCTGGAGAGACAAGAATGGAGCTGGTAATGACCTCGGTGACCGGCTCTATGATATTAACGGGGCTGAAAGAGCCAGGAGAGCCGGGGATAGAGGTGGATGTTGCGAGAGCAGACTGAAAGTGCAGTGTCGTGGTGAAAACGACCGTCTCGAGTTCATTGCCAAACTGTCTCCTTGCTGCCGCGAGATTATCCTTGAAGAAGCGGCGAGCCAGGCCGGATTGCACAGCACGGTCGTAGAGGGGCATAAAGAGCATAAAATAAAATAACAAAGGGAGAGTAAGAACAAAGATAGGAAAGAAAAGAGAGAAAGGGCCACCGAGACTGGGACCAGGTTTGGTGAGGGGAAGGAAAAGAGGTGCTAGGAGAAAGCGACCGAAACTATATACTGTACTGCATGTCGAAGTCGATCAAGGTCGTTGAAGATGATAGGCCGCACAGCATTTGACAGCGTTCCGCGCAGACGTGATCGCGACGGAAGCGACGAACAACATCATGCCAAAACATTCTGCGCACCTGTCTGCGGACCAGAGCAGCACCCTTAGACGTGGATGGAAGATCAATGATTGGTCCGCTCTGGCTGGAGCCACGGCACGGAACACCTTTGGGCTGTGACATCCAAATCCGCGGTTAAGCCTGAGAGTATTGCGATCGTAAGCGAACCGGCAACCGAGTAATGCGAGCGCAAAGATGCGTAAATGCTAGTGTTCCCTCCAGTGGAATGACACCGTGACAAACCAGCGTCACTCTAGCAGCAGTCCCGGTCGTCACCAGATTCAGAGGCATGCAGAGAGACACGCAAGAGAGTAAGCTGAAGCTCTTCCAGCACTACATACATCATCCAACTCAGCCCGTGAGAAGTACTGTGCACGTGGCGTGCGGCAGACAGTGCTCAGCGCACGTCGTAGGTCCATAGAGGTTGGAGCCTGTCTACAGCATCGTTGGCAGCGTAACAGAGTTTAGTTCACCCACCTTGTCCTCAGGCTCATATCCAATCATCGAGTCGCCGTATGCAAGAATTTCGCTCACCATGCAATATTGACTTCCTTTCCGTCCGGGAAAGGGAAGGTGCGCTCTTCCTTCTAGCCTGACTCGCTCAAGTTCGTGTACGTCCGAGAGTGTTAACATTCATATTCCAGACTTAGTTTCCGCTCTGATCGACAATTTACCTCGCTCTAGCCTTCACAAGGTACGGAGGCAGGTCGAGGATCGGCTATATGTTGATGTCATCGGCGTGCGTGCTCGTTCGGGTCTTGGTGTCGGCATGACTTGCCAATCCGGCCACTAGCTACTGCCCGATGAAGTCGCTTTGCTTTCCCTTCAATTTCTATCGTGCGACGACCTTTTGAACTGCCGCCTAGTGAGCAGGCGATGGTGCGTTTTAGCCGATGACTCTACTCTTTGGAAGCGGCTTTGCGCCACAAAGGGCTGGCAGTGGAAGGATCCCAGCCTTCCACGCCATGCATGTACTCCGGATGCAGTATACCCAGATACGGACGATGAAGGAATGGGCGATGAGGAGGAGGAGGAAGGGATGATCATTGATCCAATATCCTTTGGAAATTCCGGTAACGCGTCTCCCATCGACACCTCCAATTTGAACGATCGTTTCGATAATCTGAGCTCGCTTCTGACCGTTCCAGGGTCCAGTTCTTGTAGCAGAACCCCATTGTCAAACACCTATCCTGTCTCTGGCTCACCTTTGAACTCTGCTCGACACCACCCTGCCGCTCCCAACTGGAAGCTTCTGTACATGACCCATGCCCTTCTATATCGGCGTTTTCAAACCGGCTCCTATCATCTCTCGCACCTGCAGTCACGCGGGGCTCCCAGGTCGCATACAAGCACGATATATTGCCTACAGCTCTACACTTACCCTGAAACTGGGCTGCAGGTCTTATTCACTGGCGCGTGTGCACCAGTTACCTCGCGTTTCATGTCTCATAATTTCTCAGGCTCAAGAGATCGCACTATCAGGGAATGGGATCTATCGAACGGTAGAGTACTGAGAGTGATCGATGTCGTCCATGCAGGCAGCGTGCTTAGCCTCTGTGCCCGTGACGGACTGCTCGCGTCTGCGGGAAGTGATGGTCGGACAGTTTTGTATGATCTCAATTCAGGGAAGGCGAAGGCAGTCATGCAAGATCATGAGGACAGCGTTTTATGTGTGCGCCTCAATGGACAATTCCTAGCATCTTGCTCGAAAGGCGAGTCTCTCTGGCTCTGTTACCCCTGGTAATGAACGAGTCCCATACGACTACTGTCTAGATCGTTCTATTCGCGTGTACCGAATGCCGAATCTCACTCTTCACTTGGTTCTTTCTGGGCATCGAGCCGCCGTCAATACCATCCAACTGTCGCATTCCCACGTCATTTCTGCTTCTGGAGACAAATCCGTGCGGATCTGGAACGTCCAAACTGGTGCTGAGGAGAAGGTTTTGGAAAACCATCACTGTCGCGGGTATGTCCTTTTATGAGCTTCACATCAGATACACGATTAAGACGATCTAGTATCGCTGCGATAGACGCGGAATATCCTGTCCTTGTTACTGGGAGTTCTGACAAGCACATCCGCCTCTTCGACCTGGAAACGGAGCAGGGATGGTCGACAAGTGCTGAGTACGATTCGCAAGCCTCCGTCCCTGTTTCTGCGCCCTCACTCAATGGGGATGCCTCTTCGCTCGAGGCTATCCTGCTATGCCAAAACTGCGGCTCATCGGCGGGGCAGCCGTGCAATGGTGTTCGTCGAGAAGAATGCGCACATAAAGAACTCGTCCGCACAGTCGCTATGAACACAGATTTTGTTGTGAGCGGCAGCTATGTGAGTAGGTTTTGGTTATGGCATTTTTACGGGTTTGGCCAATGAAGCTCAACCATTCACAGGACCATCGGATTAAGATCTGGTGCAGAAAGACAGGAAGGCAGGTGGCGGATCTTACGGGTGGGCATACCGGCCGGGTGTTCTGCATTGATTTTGACCACACGAAGGTATTCTTTCCTCTGTTCACCGATCTGTGTGGTTTACTCTCAACTCTTGCTTGTTAGATCGTCTCTGCAGGCGAGGACAAGGTACGTTGACATAGTACTGCCGGGACAGACCCCGCTCACAGCGGCAATACTTCAGCAAATCTGCATTTGGTCTTTCGCTCATGGAGGGCTTGACACCTCATTCATGCTCTTGTAAAATTTCCTCCATCCTTACCAGCACAATTACCTTGTCGCATTCATTCTTATAAGGCTGTCAAATTTTCCGGGTCTGGAATTCAGATACCTTTCTGCCCATGTCACGCGTCTTCTAGTGGGATATGGCTGCTTTGTAAAGTAACTTACAATACTGTCGAATAATTGAACACCGGTACTCAAT